GGGGGCCCTCCGAGAATCCTGGGAAGATTCCTATGAACTGATGCAAAGTGAAGTGAGCAGAACAGTGAGAGCGATGGGAACGACAGGACCCAGGGTGACGTAGCCTGCCCACCCCCAAAGAGATGAAGATCTCAGGACCAGCGGGGACTGCAGAGGCCCAGCGGGGACTGCAGAGGCCCAGCGGGGACTGCAGAGGCCCAGCGGGGACTGCAGAGGCCCAGTGCTGACATAGACTTTTAATCCGAACACCCGAAAACATGTGCCAAAGAAGCAACAGAGAAAGTCGTATTAAAACATTTTGCAATTTCTTGTCTAGCCTTGAAAACTGGTGACAATGACAAAAAGTAAACCAAACAGTATTTGATTTTTTAAACATTGAAATCCATAAGAACAAAATTAAAAGAGCATATTATATACACACTGCAACAGAAGAGATGGCCTGTGAAACCATTTATTATGTATATTCCTTTATAGGCAATTTTAAAAAATGCGATAGAGCGCTTTTAAAGCTGCCCTGTTTCCTCTGGCCTTCCTCCTCTTCTATTTCATATATTTAAAAAAATCTTATCATTTTCCTTCTTTTCCTTTCTTTTCTTTTCTTCTGGGGAGGGGGAGGGGAAGAGGAACGGTCCTATTCCTAGCCCCTCCCATACTGCAATCCTCCTCCCAAACAACACACACACACACACACACACACACACACACTGTCATGTCCCCAGAAGTACTTTTTCTTTGACATCTTGAATCTATCACCTCTTGGTAGGAAGGCAGGTAGAGAAGATCTTTCTAAATCCTCTGGAATAATGATTCTTCATTAAAATAATCGTTTGAGTTGTGATTTCTTTCAAAGTTGTTGGTCTTTACAATGTTGTCTCTTATTACATTGATTCTATTAACTTCACTGCTTCAGTTCATAGATATCTTCTCAGGTTTTATTGAAATTGCCCATTGTTTCTGGTATGTTAGCATTCCGTTGCATTCATATATCAAAATTCATTTAGTCATTTGCCTATTGAAGGGCATCATGCCTTAGTTTCCAATACTTTACCGTAACAAAAGGAGCTGTTATTAATATTTTCATATAGTTGAGTCATTTTCCTCTTTGATTTCTTTAGGGGAATGGGCCCATTATTTCTGTCTCTGAATCAAAGTGGATACACAGTTTAGTGACTTTGGGTTTCACATCTTCACCAACAGTGAATTAATGTGCCTATTTTCCCAAAGAGCCTCCAACACATGTTTTTTTCTTGTCATTTTTGCCAATTGCACACATTTCAGATGGGACCTCAAAGTTGTTTAATTTGCATTTTTCTAATTACTAGTGACTTGGAACATTTTTTTCTTTGAGTTTATTTTTTTTAACTAAACTTTTTGTGCATAGCTCCGAATTGTTTTATAGAAATGGCTGGACCAGTTCACTACTCCACTAACAGTGTCAGTGTATCTAACACTCCTCAGGCCTGTCAACATTTGTCGTTTTCATTTTCTAGTCGTCTTTGAAATCTGAGAATCTTTCTAATTATTAGTGACTTGGATTAGTGATTACA